AAACTAGAAAAACTTGATTTGTCAGGGAACCTCTTCAATCGCAGCATCTTTCTGTCTCTTAGTCAACTTTCTTCTCTCAAATCACTGAACCTCAAAAACAACAACATCGGATCAGGTGCCAATATATATATGGTTCCCTCTATTCGCCCCTATGGACTATTAGTAAATCTGCAAAAGAACGTGTGTGTGTGTGTGTTTGTGCGTGTGTAGCTTATCTATTTCCTCAATATGTTAGGTTTTGAGAGATTGTCTGGGCTAAATAAGCTGGAAATCTTAGATTTGAGCGACAACAGACTGAGTGATGAAAACGTGCTCTCTGCTCTAGGTAAACTAATAATTTCTCTTGAAAAGCCTTCATTAATTTACTTTATTGCTTTTTTCCTAGAGACTTCCCAGCATACTTATAGTATATTCTAAATATCTGGACAGAGCTAAATAAATCTCGAACAACTTTGAAGAAGCTCGATATAAGGAACAACAAATTTCAAAGCTTCATACCAGATGAAGGTACATATAATTCCTTAAATACGTAGTTTTATTTTACGTAATTGCCTTGCTGTGCAGATATAACATATTGGTTTCTATTATCAAGTCTTGGTTAAGAATATTTTTTCCACAACAACCCTTTTAAGCAAATTTTTTACATCTACAACAGCATGTTGAAGATTCCTTTATGTTTCTTTTGCATGTTAGAGTTGGGAGCTCTACGAAGTATCGAGTACTTACTTTTGGATGGGAACACATTGGATGAGAACTTTCTATAGAGCAGTGTTGTAATGTCATCCCTTAAAGTATTGTCAGTAGCTCAATGCAACTTGAATGGGACTCTACCTCGTCAAGGTAATTTTGGACATAAAATTCACTAAATGATTCCTTTATACAATTAAGAATCTTAGTCAATTTAATAATTGCATAATATACATGAATGTAAACCCCTTCTAGCTTGAAAAGCAATTTTATTCTTGTTTTCAAATTTATCATTAGTGATATGGTTTTTATTTTTATATATTACTGTTCTTTTATCATAAAGAATTTTGTATAATAAATGACAATGGTAATTTAAGAATCAAAAGTATCAAAACTATCCATTGATTTGGCTGTCTAAATTAACCTAATTTTTTTTATTCTGATTTGCACGATATGCATGTCATGTAATTTTTTGTGCAAACTGGATGAATCTTCGGAATTTAGTTACACGGAGTGCTTGTCATCCTTTATAAGGGAGTATTATATTTCCTACTTTTGTATTGATCTCTGATATATGTTCTAGAATTATGAACAGTATTTTTCACAATTATTGCTTAAAGAAAGACATCTCAAAATGATTCTTTTTGAAGAGTTTTTCAGGGGCATTATTATACAAAAAATGGTTAGCAAAAGTACTTAGTAGAGTGAATGATAGATCTTTAAGATTATTGTGTTAATAATTAAACAATTGATGACAAGAAGTTTAGTTTACTAGCCATTTTGGTTTGCATGATTCCTACATTTTCTGCTTAAGCAGCAACATAAAACATGTAATAACAATTATCCAATTGTTCATTGCATAGGCTTGTGTGATCTAAAGTATCTTGAAGAGGTAAGTCTCAGCAGAAACAACTTCATTGGAAGACTTCCTCCTTGCCTTGGAAACTTAACATTTCTTAGGGTACTTGATCTATCTCAAAATCAATTCATAGGTAACATTGCCTTGTCTCCACTTTCAAGTCTCTTGTCCCTAGAATATCTCTTGTTAGCAAACAACAACTTTGAAATTCCAATTTCATTTGAGTCATTTGCTAACCACTCAAACCTTAAGTTTGTAATTGCTGACTACAACTCAGTAATTGTACAAACTTCTTCTAAGTTAAGTTGGATCCCAAAGTTTCAATTGGAAGCCTTTTCTATATCCAACTGCTCTAAAATGCCAAGTTTCCTTCACTATCAACATGACTTGAGACTTCTTCGTCTCTCACAATCCAACATTGGTGGAAACTTTCCAAATTGGCTGTTAGAAAACAATTCTAGACTTGGAGAAGTTTACTTGGGTGGAAATGCATTCACTGGATCTCTTCAATTTCCATTCATTCCTAATCTGGAAGCTTTTGATATCTCAAACAACAAGATTCAGGGACAAGTTCCTCCTAACATTGGGCCGATTTTCCCGAATCTCGTGATATCAACAATGTCAAACAATATGCTTGAAGGAATGTTGCCTTCAAGTTTTGCTGACATGAAAAACCTTGAATGCTTGGATATGTCGTACAATAAATTAAATGGAGAGCTGCCGATAGGATTGGCTAGTAGAGGATCCAAGTTATATTTTCTGTGATTGTCGAATAACATGTTTAAAGGGGAAATATTTCCAGCATCAACTTACATCAACAGTTTCAAATACTTATATTTGAGGGGGAACAGCTTCTCAGGCTCAATTCCAAAAGAGTTGTCCACTGCACCCTTACATTCATTGGATTTAAGTTACAACAATTTGTCAGGAAACCTACCAGCCTGGCTTGGTCATATCCCCTCCTTAACCCACCTTTCGTTGTTTAGTAACGATCTAAAAGGTC